GAACCACTGTACTGCAGGAAAGAAAGAGAGGGTTCACCAGCCAGAAGCTGTCTCTCCCCATCTCAGGTCTTTATGCAGTGAAATCCCAGGTGCACCCTCATATGTGAGCCCGTCCAAGATTTGCCTGTGGTCAGGAGTATCTTCAGGAGGGACCTTCAGGAGGAAGATGAGAGAAAGACTCAGCAGGCAGTGAGAAGGCAGATCCCATGGTCACAAGTGAAAGCATTTCAAAAAGTCTGTTAGAAAGAGAACTAACAACCTGAGTTTGAAAGAGGTCACAGTATTTGTCCAGTAAAACGTTTAGAACCAGTAGGAGATGGGAGCAGTCACAGGGTTTGTACAGGAGAGTGTACAAGATTAAGGAGCTTTATTAACTGAGATCCCTGAAATTCCAAAACATGGGACATGACGTCCTATTGCTCGTGGAGAGGCTGATTCCTTCATCAGTGTCGGGGACAGTGCTTGACACAGAGTAGGCACTCAATAAACACTAAGTAAATGAGTGAGGGAATGAATGAACTGTTAACGTTTTAACACTTATCCATTCTACACCTAAAATTACCTCTTGTAACCCATGAATATACCTGTCTAATAGGAAGTGGGGTGAGGATGAAAGATTAGCAAGCCCTTGGGGCTGCAGATCTAAAGCCACGTTCTCTGCTCCCCTTTATTAGACATCTTGCATGTTGATCATCTATCTGAAGGGGAAGAGAAAGCATTATTTATTGGCCCTCCTGAAGCCTTAATAATAATTATACTCATTTTTCTCTAAATTTAGGTTGAGTGATGCTCTAAACTTAAAGAGAATCCGTGGTGTTGGTTTGAGGATTACGTGGTCATATAATTAAGTCATTACCCCCCAATATTAGACAGACTTACCTCCCCAATCACCAGAACCCTGAACAACCGCAGGCTTTACCCACCAAAGCAGTGGATTCAACATGCACGGCCCTAAATGGATTGCACCTTCTCTGGTGGCAGATCAGAGGGAGAGAAGAGTCCAGGAGGCTCAGAGCCACGTATGCCCGCCTCCTTCCAAATGTGCCCATAAGATAGGTCAGTGGCGAGCAGTGAAAGAGCTTGAAGTGTTCCTCCCGGAGCTTGTCTCCCGGGGAACTGGAGTGGCAGGTCTCTTCCTCTATGGCAGTATGAGGGGTGGGGAATGATTATCTCACTGAACAGTTATTCCAAAATCAGCAACGCTTTAGGAAATCTGTTAGGCTGTGTCTGCCCTAGAATTCCAGTGTGTCAACATTTTCATTTGCCTCACTTCCTTCTGTTTCAAGATTTGAAAATCTTCGATGTCTGGATCATGCCCAACTCAGATGTCACTATTTCCTTATTCAGTGAGGCAGCGTCACCACTGCAGGTGCTGAAGCGATGCCCAGCATGGCTCCTTGCTGCTTCTGAAGACGCGAAGACACACTGGCCGCTTTCCCCATGGATATTATTTTGGGAAAGCTGTGCTGATTGTGGATATCAGGAGCCCCTGGGTGTCCTTATATGGCTGAGGCAAAGGGAAAGGTACTCTTCTCCTAAGGGCAGGGGGTAAGGAGAAGCCAACCAGAAACTTGCTGGTGTCAGCAGTGATGTGGTGACTACACACCCACCTCACCAGGCAGCAAAATCTTGGAGGGTGGAGGACGAAATTTCATACCTCTGAAGAAATGCTTGTGCACACCATCACACACACAAAATCACACATACACACACACCCTGTAACACCAGCTTTTAGGAAAGGTCCTAGGCTATGTAGGAGAGAGAATGGAGATGGGCAATAACAGTTGTAAGACATTCCTTATTTTTCCAAATAAAGAACACGGTAGTGTTAATTTAACTATACAGTAATGAAATCAGCTTTCATGGGTAGCTGCAGAAAGGGATTCATTATTTTACATGTCAAACCATTTAAAGCTATGATTTCTGGCCGATGACAGAATATTTAGAGGGATTTGCACAAACTAATAAACTTCATGCAATTTATAAGTACCTCTGAGCCTGCACCAAGGTTAACCAAAATATCTTAATAAAATGTACCTTGTTTGTCATGACTTCTCCTTAATGAGGAGCATCTCTGTGCTTCATTGGCTAATTCTAAATTCTAGCAACTTGTTTACTTAAGAGGGATTTCATAATAATGTAGCTTAATGATGCATACAGTACAGATCAGGTGATTCCGTTTGACAAGTATTTTCTTCTGCCTGGAATATTCTCCATAAGCAAAATCTGTCAAAAATTAGAAACAAGCCCTTGAGATTACCTAGTGAAAGCCTTTCATTTATGGATGATGAAACTGAGTTAATAACAAAACCAGGATGAGAACGCAGATTTCAACTCCCAATCCTGTGTTCTATCCTCTACCCATCCTTTAAGATTCAGTACAAGCCCCACCTCCTCATGAAGCCTTCCATGAATCCCAATGATTTCTCACTTTTATGCACCCCAATCATGGTCTATACTGTATCATTTAGCATTTGGTTAAAAGTCTTGTCACTTTCAATATTATGTCATATTCTTGTATCTCTAAGGAGACTATTATCTCAAGGACAAAATCCATGTTCGAGGATTCTCTTGACTGTTCCACAGTACCTAGCAAATCACATGCATCACCTAATCTTCTAACCTACTTGTCCCGTCTCTAATGAATCCAGGACTTTGCTCCTTGTCACTTCAACCCTACTGTCCTCTTTAGTAACATAAACTTCCATATGCATGACTTTTTTAACCATAGATTTACACTATATTATACATATATATATATATACACACACACACACACACATACACACATCCTTGACAACTAGCACTGTAGCTGGCTCATAGTAAGCGTCAATAAAGGTTTGGAGAGAGAGAAAATTCTTGAGGTCACTATGATCAGGGAAGGTACACAGGTACACAGAGGAAGTAAAATGTTAAATTGAGCCTTGAAGAAAACATATTGATTAACGTGCAAAGAGGAAATAAATGATACGTGAGACAAAGAGTATCCTATGTTTGAATTCCAAATTGGGTACTTATTATTTGTTAAATCTTAGGCAATTTACTTAACCTGTCTGAGCCTCGGCTTCCCCATCTGCTGAACTAGGATAATATTATAGATTTCATAGTGTCTGAAAAATAACTGATAAATTACACAGTAGGATTCGATAAATAGTAGTTACTAACAACAGTAACAAAAATTAATAACAACTCCTTGAATAAAGAAGCCAATAGATGTCCCAAGTGAGGGCACAGTGGGTAGCCTAGTTAGACTACAGCAAAATGCTTCACAAAGGGAAATGATGATAGGTGAGAATGGAGAGACAGAGGCCAGATTCAGTCACCATTTCTTTCTCCAACCAACTTGAAGCTTAAAGCTATCAACTGCATCACTAAATTCACTGCAGGATGTGATGATGGCCGAGGACTGTGAAGTGGTTCATTCTTAGTAAAAAGCACATGGGCATTGAATCAGACAAGACATGGGTTGTAATCTCAGGTCTGGCACTTACTGGGGCATAAACTGGAGGTGGTTTGTTGTTGTAAGTGTTAAACAAGTAATACATGTGAAGCATCTACCATAATGCTAGGCAGATGATGGACACGCAACAAATCTTAGTTATCTTTTCTTTCATTTGTCTTTGCCTCTTCCCAAGCTTTTCTCTAGCTCTTTCTTTGTCACCAGGTTCTTTGCTTGCCTATCCAAACCTACGGCTTTCAACAAGGGTTTACTGAGATCAGTGTCATTAGAGAGCATTTAAAAGCACGGACTGTAAGTCGGGCACTGTGCTAATAACTCTAAATTTAAACACAGCTGCCTGTATTGTCCTTGGAAGTACTTCAAATTCATTTGTATGAATGAGCCATGTCCCCTCCAGGTAAACCAGATGCAAAGGAGATCAGCTTGAAGTTAAAGCCACATCATAGGCCAAAGGTGCTCACGCTTCCTATAGTTCCAAAAGTGTTTATCTGGGCATAGCATAGAGAAAAACCAGGAAACCTGGGCTAGGTATCACTGGAATGGTAGGAAGCAACAGTGAACAACAGTGGAGACACAAAAGTCAAAGTATAGCCAGGCCTGTCCTTTCAACCCATGCATCCATCACACTTCTGGCAGTTTAGCCAGAGGAAATAACTACGGATATGCACAAAGACTTAGCTAAAAGGTTTTCTTTGCAGGCCTGTTTATTTAAGAGTATAACAGTAAAGCAAGCCTTAACATCTAAAAATAGATTGATTCAATTATGGTTTATCCATATAATCTATGAACACACGCTGTCACAGAGGAATATTTATTAACGTGGAAAGATGACCAGGCTATACTATTAACTGACAAAAGCAGATTGCAAAGCAAAATATACTAGGTGAGTCTGTGTTTTTAAGTATATATGAATAAAAAAAAGACTGGAAGTTTAGCAAGATATTAAAAATAATCGACACTGAAGGTGAAATTATTAATTTTTACTTTTTGTTTCCTGATTGTTTATAGTTTTGAACGTTTCCATATATCACTTTGTAACAAGAAAAAATGCCATGTATATAAACATATATATGCTATTTTTTCAAATACCTATGGCATTTTTGTTACAAAATATATGTATATATGTAATGTATTTATATGGCTTCGATAAATGGTAGTTTTTAAAAACTACATATTTTATATATAATATATAAAATTATATATTTAATAATATACTACACACACACATACTGTTTTGTGAGTGGAGATAAATGGTGGATGGATTAGATTAGATAAATGGTAGATGGATGGTAAATTAGATGATAGATTAGATCATAGATAAACAGTAGATTAGACGGATTGATAGATGATGGATTCGATACATAGCTGGTAGATAGATAGATGATAGATAGGCAGGTAGATAGATGTCCAGGAGGCGCACAGAGCCAGATGTCTAGCAAGACGGTGTGTATTGAGTGCCACGCAGTATCAACAGTTACAGGTTAACCAAAACGAGCGAACGTCCGGGCAGCTGTGCCTGAGCCCGTCTTTTCTCCGTCAGGTGGACGCCCACGGCAACATTCTCCTCAGCACCCTGGAGATCAGGAACGAGACTAGCGGCTCGGAAGTGCTCACGGGCGGGAGCGACCCCAAGGCCACCATGTACTCGTACGACAGTGCCAGCATCCAGTACCGCAAGCCGCTGAGCAGCCGCGAGGCGTACGGGCGCGCGCTGGACCGGCACGGCGCCCACAGCAAGGGGCGCCTCCGCAGGCGCGCCTCGCAGCTCAAAGTCAAAATCCCCGACTTGACTGATGTGAATTCCATAGACAAGTGGTCCCGAATGTTCTTCCCCATCACCTTTTCTCTTTTTAACGTCGTTTATTGGCTTTACTATGTACACTAAGTTCAGTCCCCATGGTTCCTTAAACGACTACCTTCCTCTTCTCTTAGTTTTTAATCCCACAGGTCCCCAGCAGCGGTACTGCTGTGCTTTTTGAGGTAAGAGATTCAGTCATCCAATTGGTTTTAGGTCTTGCATATCAATTTTATTACTGCACCATGTTTACTTCAAAAAAAAAAAAAACTCTATTTTTTTTTCCAGTCTACTGTGGTCCAGGTTACTGGCTCTTTCAGAGCTCTGTTAATTGCCATGTTTACAAACAAATACACACAACGAGAGAAATTAGATAGGCCGATCTTTAGCAGTTCTAGCCGCCCTGGATTTGACTGATTATTTTTTAAGTAAAACTGAAAAGAGGACCCAGCTCTCTGTGTGCATGGCTTCCTGGTCAACTGTAACAATCTCATGCTGCCAAAAAACAACACAATTTCCAGGATCTCAGAAGACAAAACAAAGCCATTGATAAGTTACAGATTTCCAGGAAGAAGGGAGAACAAAAAGGAGCCTAGAAGAGGAAGGAAGACTCCCCTCCACCCTCAAGCTGCCCCAGGTCCACTGTAGGAGGGGGTCCCAGCTCCACGGAGGAAGAGGGGGAGACTGGCAAGCGCTGCCCCAGGTTGTGCAAACCCAATCTGCCATCTTCACCTCACCTTTAAGCTGGATATTCTGAAAAATGCTTCTTTCTCAGACTTCCAGGCAGATTTAAATTAACATTAGAATCCAACCTGGTAGCCACTGGGAACATTTTTCTTTTCTTGTTAAGTATAAGGAGTTTGGGAGGCAGTGACCATCTTTAAGCTCTTTCAAATGAGCAGCCCTGAACTTACTTCCTCAGCCTGGAATCACTTGACGCTGTGTCATGAAGCCATGGCATCACATTGTCCTCGTTCCTCCTTTAGAGAGATTGAGAGAAAGGCGCTGGGGTGGGGGTGGGGGGGGAGGTGCGCTTTGAAGAAGAGGGTGGTAAGAAATTTTTGCTTGAGAAAAATATTGCCCTTTCCATGAGGAAGGCAAGATTTATGTGCTGTGAAAAGGGTGCCTGGGCAGTTACCTGAACTGCCAAATCTTTAATCAAATAGTATATATTTCTTAGCCTTCCAGAGAGCAGTATCTAATGGTGACAAGGTAGCTGCACAGTGCTAGTTCCTCAGCTAGCATGTTATGCCTCTGCTCTCTGAGCTCTGCATTCCAACACAGGAAATGAATGCTTCAGGAAATGCACATATACCCATTTTGGTATCATGCTCCTTCAACGCCAGATTTCTACTTTAAAGAAAACCTTCAAAACAGCAAAACCACAGAATAACAACAACATCACTGAGCCTTCAAACATTTCCAACAGCTCTGAAAGTACAGCCCTTGTCTACAGTCGTTACTGCTTCTGCCTTATCTCTGCTCATGGATTACTTTGCTCATCATACAAGGAGCATCCCTCAAGAGCCCAGCACACAATTCTAACCATATCCAACCAACTAGAGTTGAGATTCATCTCATTTTATGTCCTTAAAGCCTCGTTATTTTTGTGTATGTGTTCAGCCTGAGCATATAAGAATTCTATGTGTTCATTTTCAAGACTGAGTGAAACCCAAAGTTGGCCAAACAGTCATGAAGGCGATTTGGGACCTCATCTATGGATGTGATATGAGTTGAGGTAATAATAGGGATGATTGCCTCTGTTTGACGATCTGGCTTTCTCCCTAAGGTTGTGATGAGGCCCCATGTTTACAACAGCATCAGCTGCTAGAGATTATAAACTTAATTGAAAAGAGGAAGCTGAATTTCTACAGATAAACCCAAGGAGAGTTATGAGGTGTTCTTTTAGAAAGCAAGAGGAAAAGAGAACCCCCAAATAAATACATGGTTATGCTATAGCTAATGTATGTTAGTAAGAATATAAAAACCCTGCTTTGACTGGAAAAATTATCTCAGTGGTTTTATGAGAAATGAATCGGGCATGGGAACCAAATTTCATTTAAGTTTTCAGTTGTATAATCACAGTTCCCTGGTCAAGAAAATCCCCAGCCTCTGGGGATGAAGCAATCCATTTCGAAACTCTGTTTAGTTAGTTCTTTGGCAGGGTGAGATGCTTTTCCATCGTGAAATGCCCAAATAGACTAGAACGTGGCCATACCAGTGATAGTAAGGTCAATATTCCCAGTGACTACCCAGGAACCACTGTGTAGCCGTTTATTTTGAACACAGGAAGTGAGGCTTTTGGCTGATACCTAACAAGAATTAATAAGTCAAAACTCTTTTAAAAGTTTTTAAGGATGAAATGCTAAATCAGAAACAAAGTCTCTGTTGATCTGTGTTCCATAACAAAACAAGTTCTCTTCACCTGTTTAGATCATTCTTCTTGGAGAAGATTGAGCATAGTTTTTTTATTATTATCTTGCCTTAAAAGTCTAAAGGATTTGATGCTTGTAGTTTTAGATGTAAAGCATCTCTGAGAGAAAAAGAATGTTTTGAATTCTTATCTTTTATCCTTTGTAAAATGTAAAACTTAGTAAGCCTGAATCTACCATCAGGCACGAAATGGTGTCACTGTCGGCCCTCCTGGATGTAGACAGTCACAGCTAGCACTACACAAATTGTGTTACATAGCTCTGGTTTTAGAGGCAATTGGCAGCCAGAAAAATGGAAAAGCTGCCATGTTTCTAATTAATAACCTCTGGCCTCACTTCCTTCTTCCGGACACCTCCTAGCCAAATCCTCCCCAATCTCGTTCCAGGCTGAACAGTACACAGAAAAAAATCCTTCCTTCTCTGCCTCTCTACCTTGTCTTGCCCAAATTGATGACATAAAACATAAAAATTGCTAGACATTCTTAAGTGCCCTCAACCTGGTCCCCATTCCTGAAAGATTCAGATCGCTACATTTTAGAGGGGTTACTGTTTAACCATTTGGGGGTTGTTTTCTTTTAGCCATAATCTCCTGTATTAACAAAGTGGCAGCAGAGGCTGAAAATTGCACAGACGCACTCTCTTATGCCACAGTCATGTCCAGGGGACCCCATGTTCATAGTTCATAAACTGTGAAATAGACCGAGTCTTAGACTTAACCTGTATAGACCCAGCAGAAATCCCGTCATTTACTTGCCAATGATGACTTCACACTCATTCCAACCAGTCATGTTTCTTGACTTAAGATATCAGGGGTGACATGTGCATTACACTCACCAGCTTTGTGAGGCCAAGACCCAGGTAAAGACATACTTTTGGCTTGAATTATCCAGGATTGTTGCCCCCATCCTCTCCATTGCCAAATAGAAACAGCAGACTCGTTGGTAGTTCTGCTGACTAAAGTGTTTCCACATATACCGTCTTTACTGTCCGTTACAATCAGTGAAGGATCTTGAAAATGCAAAGAGAAAATGTGGTGCAGAGAATAAAGTTTGTTTTATGGATCCAAGGATAGGCTTTCCTTAAAAAGCATTACGTACAATACACAGAGATGTTGACCAAATTCCATCTTTCTGAAATCAATGACTGCTTTATAAATATTCACTTCAGAAAGAGCTCAGTCGAAATTTGCCAAGTGAAACAAACAAACAAACAAAAGATCTATTTATAATGTTAGAAGGAAAAGCTCTCCAAGATTTCTTATATGGACAATTTTTAATAGTATTTTACAAAGGGTGATGTGCCACAGTTGTTTTTTTTTTTTTCCCCTAAACAAATATAATCAAATATTTATCCCAGGAGGGAGGGTAAAGGAATGTGCAAGCATTTGTTCATGTTGGTTCATCAGCAGTTACTGGGATGAGGAGGACAGAAAAACGAACAAAGATATCTGTTGCTTGAAAGCAAACAGTCAACACAGAGGTCAAGTTGTTAATGGAATGTAGAATATTATGTAAACTTCCTTGTAAATTCTGTACATAGTTCATGGAACTGTTCCCTGTGGTGTGGTGGTCCTCAGCTTTTGGGTGGATGTTTGAAAAATACGAGCATTGTAAATAATGTAAGCTTACAAGGCACTCGCTTTTATTCATGAAGTGAAATGACTAGTGATTTGGGTCCAAACCAGAATCTTTTTAGCTCTTGCTCTTTCTCTGACATTGTGTGTGTACAGCTGTGTAATTCTGCCAGGTGTCTGTGATCACTGCCTCATGCCTCAACCCCACTGAAAGGGACTGGAGCTACCAAGAAGTCTGCACACCCCTGGGGCTCAGGAACAGCACACCAGCAGAGACAGGAATCTTAACGAGCTGCTCCTGGAACCGTGCCATGAAAAGTTTGACGCGTTTTTATCAGTCACTTGTGGCTACTCATATATTCAGATACCAAATTATCCATGCTGTTGAGGGGGTCAAGAATAGAAGACGTGATCAAAATCCACAGGGAATCCGAAGCTTCATTTGCACCAATAGCTTTAGCTTGTACCTTCTTTCCTTCCACAAGTGTTCCCAGAACTTCTAATACTTTCTAATAGAAATGGATGGATGGTTGATCAGGGTAAACAGTCGAATGCGCAAATGATGGGAAGGAGAAAAGGAGGAGATAGCCAATGACATTGGTAACACCAACTGGCTGATTCATGCCTGAAAGATCCAGAGGTGACCATGGCACTGTTTTTGAAGGGTAAAAAGAAGTACTGGTATAAATGGACTGGGTATTGACAAGTATTTTTCAACTGGGGGCCTGAGATATGTTTGGTATGTGCTAGTTAAACTTAAAAGAGAATCTGGCAATTAAATGTTCTCAAATATATTTCTCCCAAGTCCTGGTATTCTTGAAAAAGTCTTCGGAATGGTGGGATATTATGCCATAAGATGTGTTCCCATGCAGACTGGCAGTCCCAGAGAGGGTGATGGTATCCACAGAAATTCAGAAATTCTAAGCAAGTAGGGAAATAGATTGGTTTCTTAGCAACATTTGAGAGTGATCAATGTCTTTCTTGCAGGTAAGAACTTAGCAAGGCAAGGCTTTTATTGCCAGCATTTTAAGTGCCAGGAAGAGTGCAGGGAGCCATCACTGTAAGACATTTTGGCTCCAAAATGTGCCAAGTAGGGTCCACATCAATTGAATAAGAAAAAAAGCCCTGTTGGAACTAATCAAGTCAATGTCTAGGTCCAGAATACATTGTGCTTTTGCTTAAATCCTGCTTTTTCCAGATAACTGAAATCAACTGACAGAAAACTCCACTGTTAGAGGCTGCAACTTCACAAACATTTGAAAGGAAATCCTTTTCAACAGAAGAACTTCAAACCAGAAAATACTAAGTTCCTGGAAGGATAAGCATAGTTTTGAGTTTGTTTCTATTTCTCCAAACCAAGAATTTCCTTATTCGAACTGAAGAGATCTAACAGTTGTTTGTTTTGTTTCGGTTTTCCTATTTCAAAAAGTCCTTGGTACATCAAGGGACTGGCAACCATTCCTGATTGGCCCCTAGATACTCTGTCCACCCTGGAACAATCAGCACTCATCACCAAGGCTTCATTAGGAATTCACTGTGGGAAAAGGAGGTGTCTTTCTGAACCAGTTGGCAAAGAAAACCATTCTCATACCTGCATTTTCTCTCCTGAAGACAATAGAAAAATAAATCAATAAAAATTGTTTCATAAAAGAGAGGCCAAATAACATTATGCATTTGCCTAAAGTACACAGGGTCACAGATCCACTAACTTAAAACAGCCCCAGTTAGAAGCCAAAGGATAAATAAGAGCAATCAGTATTGCTGTCTGGCTCCTACTTCTTCCTGGGTTTCCGTTTGAAGAAAAACAGGGAAGGGGGAACATTTTCCAATATAATTTTTTATAGGTGAAAACTATTCAAATACGATATGTTTATGCATTTTGCAAGTTTGGCAACGTGAAACAGATCACCTCTTTTGTGTTCATTCCTTCCTGGAACCATACATCATCCTGACTCATGCCTTAACCCAATGAAATCAATCCCTTTCTTTTTCCTTTCTCATTTCTAAACCTCATAAGCTGTCTTGCCCATGGATAGCAGAAAGCTTAAGCTTCTTTGGACTTATACTGCATATCTTCAATTGAATCTACAAAAACAGTGAATTTTAATAATTTCCCCAAATTCCTACTCCTATTGCCTTTAACAGAACGTTAGAGGTAGCTACTGTATAATCACAGTAGCCTCTTCTGAACCGCCTTGGGTTATTTTTCTTTTCTGCTTTTCTGTCCCTTATATACAGAATACACGTTTACCTAAACCTTCTCCCTCCCAGTCTAATTCAAAATGAAATGGAAATAAAAATCATAAGCTCAAACCTAAGAAAACTACATTATCTACACTAAAGTTTGAGGATAAGACCATCTCCTTACATTATAGTTGTAATGTGGTGAATTCACACTGTATCAATTCTTTTTCATCAAACTCGTTTGTGTACTTCTTCAGTCTTAATTGTATGCCATTTAAAAATCTATTATTATTCCTCCCAGAATGGCTAATCATTTACACAGCACACCATTAGTTACAGACTGTCCTCTAGGAACTTGACCTAATTCATCCTTTCTGTATCTGATTCCTATTACAGATTTCCACTTCTATGCATTACCCTACCCACTCCTCTTCAACCTTCTAGCAGACATTAAATATAGTTAGTAACTGGACAGGTCATAAGGCAAACTGTCTAAACTGCCCCTATAAAATATGTGGAACATCTTTTTCCTCCAGACAACATTTCTACATTTAGAGAACAGAAAGTTCTCTAAACATATACCAAGCAATGTGCAGCTTAACCTTAAAAAGTTAACTATAAATGAGCTGCGTGGTGGGGAGAAGGAAATTATAGTGAACAGCAGACACCTTGGAATTAGGATTTTGTGACCTGGGCTTTATGCTGTCACTATCACAGCCTAGTTGTGTGACTACGGACATTCCACCAGATGACCTCCAAGTTCCTTTCCAGTATTAAATTTCAAAGGGAATTTTAAAGAGATTCATTTGTGTAGGAGATTACCAGAAAGATACAGGAGTCTCATGGCCTCTGTTAACACAGCCCCACAAATTTAGTTATATTCCTTGTTGCATGTCTTTGGGAGTAAGCCATCTGCTGTAAAGTGAACTGAATTCAAAACTTGTTCACAGTCCTCTAAAAATATATAGAGAACATAGTGTTAAATTTTCAGGCAAGTGGCAAAAAAAAAAATTTATGATTTTAGTAATCGTCCACACTACAATATTTCCTTCTAAAAGCACTGGAGAGTCTCATTTAACATAATCATCGTGGTCTCTATTTTCAGATATCTGAAAGATGTTGATCCCTTAGACCATTCTCTCTAACTCAGTCAGGAATGGCCATGGAATGCCCCTCCTGAGTGGAAAAGCCAACTTCTAAGCAGCATCTGAGCAGAAACGCTATTGCAGTGCCTTTCCATATTCCTTCCCATCCTAGACGCCATCACTGTCCTGTGTCCTGTAAGAGGAATAGCAGGTATGATTGAGCTCTCAGGTAAGAGGCAGCCACCCATCTATTGGAAAAGATTCCAGGTCTGTTATCCACTCTCTCTGCCCCCACTTCTCCCACCTCCTCCTATCCCCCACTTAAATCATTAAATCTGTCAAATGTTTTAGGCACAGCTATGGCAAAACTGAAAGTTTACTTATTAAATTGCAATCAGCATTTCTAGCTATTCACATTTTTAAAGATGCAGCCTAGTGTCTGAACAAGATCCCTAATGAGATTCCTGCACACAGATGTTCATAACTTTTTTTCCTTTTTTAAAAGATACCTTCCATCTCTAAACTTTCATGATTCTCCTGAGAACCCCTGACCATTCAAAACTGTTAGGAGAGTGCCTGGAAATTCCTCCCTTCCACCATAGGCCATTCTGTGGATGAGATGGTCTCTTTTTTGTAGAGTTATCCTAATATTCTGCCCCTCGACCTCACACACCCCACAAAACCTTCCTATGTACAGATGTATTCATTACTCCTCTTAAAAGTAGTGAGCTAATAGTTTTCTATTACTGGTTTGCCACACTTTTTTCCTAGTGATGGTTTCATATTTAATTTCATTTTTTTCAAAACAGAGGAAGCATTCCTAAGTCTTCAAATTTTCACCAAGTTGAGATTAGTACTTACTAATATGTATATCAATTAGGATTCATTTAAGTGCAAGTAACAAAAGATACAACTAAAAGTAACTTTAACAATCAAAATGTTATCTCATATAACAGTTAGAAGTAGCGCAGTTACTGGGTTAATTATTTCAATAGCACAATGATGTCATTATGACTCAGGCCCCTTCCCTAACCAGTTCTTAACTCTGTATGTTATCAGCAGCCATTATGGTTGCAAAGTGGCTACACTTACGCACTCATATCAAGTGGAAGAAATAAGGGAAAGCCCTGCCTTGGATTTCTTTTTAAGAGCAAGGACATCTTTCCCAAAAAACTCCCTCAACAGTCTTCTCTGTTGTCCCATTGGCCAGGGTTGGATAACACATCCATTCCTGAACCAGCCTCTGATAAGAGGCATGGAATTATCATGATTGGCTTACAACACTAACCCCGAGCTGCCCAGTGTCTGGGAAAAAAGGAGGTGGCGTGGGGAATATGTTAACAAAAAGAGGGAAGGGGGCTTCCCTGGTGGCGCGGTGGTTGGCAGTCCGCCTGCCGATGCAGGGGACACAGATTCGTGCCCCTGTCCAGGAAGGTCCCACATGCCGCAGAGCGGCTGGGCCCGTGAGCCATGGCCGCTGAGCCTGCGCGTAACGGGAGAGGCCACAACAGTGAGGGGCCCGCGTACAACCAAAAAAAAAAAAGAGGGAAGAATGGCTTTTGGGTAGATATCCAACGATGACTGTCACACATTGGTCTAAGGCATCAAAAAACACTTTCCCACACATTGTTTCCTGGTTTGACCTTCACTACAGTGCTGTGAAGTTAAGATGACAAAACCAATAGGTAGAAATAGAGGCTCAAATAGGTTAAATGATTTACCCAAGATCTGATAACTAGTTAGTGATGGAGTTAGTATTCAATCTCAGTTTTTCTTGGCTCCAAAGGCAAAGCTTTTTCCACTCTACTACACTGCCTGGATTTAATCTTTTTAACCTGATGATCCAGGTTGTGGGTAGTTCAAAGATGAGTGGAGAGTAGGAGAAAAGAGAGTGATTTCCTCTCCCAGTATGTAGATACTGTGCCGAGTAAACACTCTTGCTCTTTTTTGTAATCCTTCTCCATCCTTCCTCCATCCTCCACACAAAAGTTTTTCATTACTCTCTTGAGGGAAAGTGTAGAAGGAGTAGCTTGTACAACATCTAAATAGCCTGAAGCGTGCCCCAGTTTGCCTGAGATAGTGCCAGTGTGTAATTTATCAATAGATAATTTCACTCAAAAGTGTCCATTTAGATAACGAGTTATATAGTCATGCTAATTATGAGGTCTCATGATTCCCATACCTGGAGGATATGGGAAATATTAGCAAGTTAATATTAACACCTTGGAGAAAATATCTTGGCTCCCTATGAATCTTTTATTCATGACTGACCTCAGTCTTCTCCATCACTCATGCTCACTTCATTTCTCATTGTACCCCTCACTCAGCTTCAAGCATGCTAATCCTTACGCTTTCCCTACCCTTCCACTGCAGCGGCCACCTATCATCCCAAAATGTTCTCGTTGCTGTGCTTGAATTTTTACATTTTATCTCCAGCTCAGGCTCCTCCTAACGCCTCCCTAATGAATCCGGCCAACATCAACCAAAAAGCCATCATGAGCAAACTTCCCTCATTCTGTTCACTCTCCCTCTCCCCTTCACCCTCAATTCTTGTGGCCATTTTGTCCAAAGATAGTTACTTCATTTGTGTATTTTCCAGTAGTTTTGCAAATAGATGCTCTGCCTCCCTAAATAAAGCGTAAGGTCTTTAAGGGTAAATGTCCCATTTTCTAATTCTTTTGCATTGCCCAAAGCATCTATTATTCTGTCCATTGTGGAGAATCTGTACATGCTGACTGAATAACCTACGTTGCTATATGTAGCAACAGAGAATGTCCATAATGGACATTACTTTCAGAATTATAGATAATACCTTGTGAGGCAGGTGTCCCTGCTACCCTCCCCCAAGTTATTTTAGTCCCATTGAGCCTATGTCTGCAACCTCTAAGTGGATTTTTTTAAATGCAGCTAGAGTTACAACTGAACCCAGGTTAGGGTCTGTGCCGAGTGGTCACTGAGATTTTTTCCATTGTTTATGACTATACAAACTGAATCCTAACACCACCATTCTAGAGTCTGCCAGTCTAGCAGACTTGGACTTTCCATGCTAATTACTACTGCTTTTCCTCTATGGAAGAAGGAACTGTTTTATTTAAAGTTTCATTTTTCCCTCGTTTACCCAAGTTTGCCTTGTTAAAAGCCTTTGGATCTAGATTCTACTGGGCGTTTACTCTTGAAGCTGGGACTACACTGCGTAATTGGAACACTCCAATGTGAATCCTAAGAGAGTCCTCCCAGAGAGTATGGCACACCAAATTTCATTTCTGCCAAGAAGTAAATAGAAGGTTTAGAACTATCTAAGGGGGATGGGCAGTTCTTGACATGCACCAACTGTCC